CATAGTTCTCCTTTAACTTTAATTTCTTTTTTTGCTTTTTATTTCTTTAACTTTTTTAACTTTTTTTATATTTTTAATTTTAGTTTAACTTTATTTTTTGGTGTATTTGTTATTTTAGTTTATTTAACTTTATTTATTAAATTTTTTTGCATTTTAATTTTTTAGTTATTTCACTTTTTAAAAAAATTTTGGGGGTATTTTTAATTTCAGCTTAACTTTATTTATGTTTTATTTTATTTAACTTTATATAAATCAAACCTTGTTTATTTAACTTTATTTTAAAAAATAAAGTTAAATAAACAAGGTTTGATTTTCGAACTCTAGAACACGTGGCAGGGGCATAACTAGAAATCACAGGGCCCCATAGCAAAATTTGGTTTGCCCCCCCCACTCCAAAAAAAAAGTACAGTGCCTGCACCACCTCCATCTCCTTCTCTTCAGCTCCTGCAGAACAGAACACTCACTGCTGAAGAGCCCACAATAGACCGACCGAGCACAGCCCATTAGAGACCCTGCAGAGCCCACCATAGACCCACCACGGCCCAACAGAGACCCTGCAGAGATCACCTGACACCCTGCTGATCGCACCACAGACCCAGCTCAGCCCACCAGAGACCCTGCAGAGCCCATCTGACACCCTGCTGATCGCACCACAGACCCAGCTCGGCCCACCAGAGACCCTGCAGAGCCCACCTGACACCCTGCTGATCCCACCATAGACCCACCACGGCCCAACAGAGACCCTGCAGAGATCACCTGACACCCTGCTGATCCCACCATAGACCCACCACGGCCCAACAGAGACCCTGCAGAGATCACCTGACACCCTGCTGATCGCACCACAGACCCAGCTCAGCCCACCAGAGACCCTGCAGAGCCCATCTGACACCCTGCTGATCGCACCACAGACCCAGCTCGGCCCACCAGAGACCCTGCAGAGCCCACCTGACACCCTGCTGATCCCACCATAGACCCACCACGGCCCAACAGAGACCCTGCAGAGATCACCTGACACCCTGCTGATCCCACCATAGACCCACCACGGCCCAACAGAGACCCTGCAGAGATCACCTGACACCCTGCTGATCGCACCACAGACCCAGCTCAGCCCACCAGAGACCCTGCAGAGCCCATCTGACACCCTGCTGATCGCACCACAGACCCAGCTCGGCCCACCAGAGACCCTGCAGAGCCCACCTGACACCCTGCTGATCCCACCATAGACCCACCACGGCCCAACAGAGACCCTGCAGAGCCCACCTGACACCCTGCTGATCCCACCATAGACCCACCACGGCCCAACAGAGACCCTGCAGAGATCACCTGACACCCTGCTGATCCCACCATAGACCCAGCACGGCCCACCAGAGACCCTGCAGAGCCCATCTGACACCCTGCTGATCGCACCACAGACCCAGCTCGGCCCACCAGAGACCCTGCAGAGCCCATCTGACACCCTGCTGATCGCACCACAGACCCAGCACGGCCCACCAGAGACCCTGCAGAGCCCACTTGACCCCCTGCTGATCGCACCACAGACCCAGCTCGGCCCACCAGAGACCCTGCAGAGCCCACTTGACCCCCTGCTGATCGCACCACAGACCCAGCTCGGCCCACCAGAGACCCTGCAGAGCCCACTTGACCCCCTGCTGATCGCACCACAGACCCAGCTCGGCCCACCAGAGACCCTGCAGAGCCCACAATAGAACCCACAGCGCCCACCTGAGATCCTATAGAACCTACCTGAGACCCCGCACATACCAGAGACTCTGCACAGCCAACCTGAGAGTGACCCTGCAGGGCCCACCAAAGCTGACCTTTGGTCAGGTGCAAGGCTTTAGCCAATCAGGGCCCACAGTGCCTTGTGCGGGGCGCTCGGCGGACGACGAACAGACCTCCGAAACGCCCTGAGAGTTCGCCTAACACACGAACTGCCGATGTTCGAGGCTTGAACATGGAGCCCAACCCTAATCTCTACCATACAGGAAATGACTTTATTAATAACTATCATTATATCATTTCATGTTGGCTCCGTGCGGCCGGTTCCGAGCCAGTCAAGGACTCTGTTCAGCAGTCACGATGTCCCAGACACAAGGAGGGGAATTTATCAAAACTGGAGCAGACAGAATCTGGAGCAGCTGTGCACGGCAACCAATCAGCTTCTCTCTTTAATTTTCAGATCTTAACTGAACAAACTGGACAGAGAAGCCGATTGGTTGCCATTGGCAACTGCTCCAGTTTTGATCAATTCCCCTCAGGGTGTGTATTGTGTACAGGGGATGGCAGTGTTGTCCGGTTGCTGGGTGACACGTTGTGTTGTGTTGTGTCTCCGGGGAGTAGAAGGACGGAGCGGTGTGTCAGGCTCGCAGGTTCTTGTTACATCAGTCCGGACACATCGGGTGACAGATGGCATCCAGGAGTGCCGGCACACTGATCACCCACAACAATGCCACCTACATCCCACCTGCTGTCATGCCCGGGTAAGTGTCAGCGTGTGACATATGTTCCCTGCACAGAGGTGACCCGCCCTCCTCCCTCAATGTATAATGCACTATATCCGTCTATAGTCTAGTATGCAGGTATATCAAACTGTATATATAGCTCTGACCTATACCGCAGCGCTGTACAGAGAACACTCAGCCGGTCACATCAGTCTCTGTACAGAGGAGCTTACACTCTAATGCCCCCTCCCCCACAGTCACATCAGTCTCTGTACAGAGGAGCTTACACTCTAATGCCCCCCCCCCACAGTCACATCAGTCTCTGTACAGAGGAGCTTACACTCTAATGTCCGCCCCCCCACAGTCACATCAGTCTCTGTACAGAGGAGCTTACACTCTAATGTCCCCTCCCCCCACAGTCACATCAGT